AAAATGGAGTGCGGGGTATTGCAGTGGACTGGGTAGCAGGTAGGGAAGCTGCATAATGATGTCATTAGTTCTTTGGTGTGTTTGTATCGCTATCATCTTATTTTGTGCTAGAAAATTTAGTCTAGCATTGTATTTCTGATCTTAAAATATAATGTAAACCATGAAATGGCAAGTGTTTATTTTAAAGCCCCCAAATTTTAATTGCCCAACTCTTACTTGCTTCCTCTTGTTAATTTATAAAGCCCTTTTAATGAAGTACTTCCTCTATTGTAGTTCTATTAAAATGCCTGACTCAATATTACATTAACTTAGTTGTATTGGTTCATGTACTTAATTTTGAAATCCCGCTCATTTTTAATGATACACTGAGAATCAAATGCATTATAATTTTTAGAATATAATACTGTTCTATAAAATAGGTATCACTGAGTGTTATCCAGCTTGGTGAGTAGACATTACATAGAAATATTAAAATGCATTAGAAAAACCCAGGTAATATGATAAGAGTTTATTGCAAATAGTAAATATGGTATTGTGGTTAGATAAGACTTTAATTGTGTTCCTAAATCTCATTCCTGATTATGAATTTACTATGTTATTACTGAGGGTAGTTAAAGCAGGGTCAGTAGTCTGTGTCCTGTGGGCCAAAGGCAGCACACCGCCTATTGCATTTAAGTCGAGTTTCACTGGAACGCAGCTATGCCCCCACTTGTTTATGTACTGTCTACAGCTGCTTTATGTTACAGTGGCAGAGATGAATACTTGTGAAAGAAACCTCATGCTCTGTAAAGCCCAAAATATTTACAATATACAAGCCTTTTTAGAAAAAGTTTACCAACCCTGGATTAAAGGATGGAATACGCTTATAATCCAATTAGAAATAGATAATGAAAAGGATAGATTAGTAACATTGCATACTGGCTTGATTTCTCTAGAGCAGGTTTGAGTCAGATACAGGAACAAAGTAGGTGTGTTTTGGTAGATAGTTTAACATCAGACTTTCAACTACATGGAATCAATGTGGGATTGCTCTTCGTTATACTGCCTTCACAACATGGTCTTTTCCCCCCTTGCATTGTTTAATAATGCTCAAAGGAAACACGGTTTTGTTCTGGTAGCTTTAGAAGGTTTGTGGAATGATCACATCTATACTGGTTAGGAAGACTAGGACAAGACCTCATGTTAGTGTTAGCACAAAGAGGATTGATGACATTGATCAATGCCCCGAGATCCTGGCCCCTCTTTGCTCCTTCTCTTCGTGTTGGAGTAGAAGTCATTCCATGATGATGCTTATTTAGAGTCTTTGAAAATGCAAGTGTTCAACATTCAGGTAGAAAAGGAAGGACATCCTTGGAAAAAAACCCTTTGCGTTAAAACTGGGTTCTGACATGTGCTGAATTCTAATGTGGTTGAGAAGCTGAAGATAGGCACGTTCTGTTTAAATTTGAAGAAGCAATCTCTTTAGGTCCTGAGTAAATATTTATTTTCCTAAGTCTAAACAGGCATTCATTATCTTGGAAAAGAAAATATATACTGAGCCAAACCTCAACCTTACACATTTTATTCTGAAGATTCTCTTTTCATCTTGCTTTTCCATTTATGAGCATGCTCTTTCATTTTTTCTTGCAGACAATCTTTATTTCATCAATGCTTTTGAGTCTGAAACACTGATAGAAGTTCTGCGGATCAATACCACCTATCGTCGTGTTCTCCTTAGAGTCAGAGTGGACATGCCCAGGGATATTGTTGTAGACCCCAAGGACAGATACCTCTTCTGGGCTGACTATGGGCAAAACCCGAAGATTGAACGTGCTTTTCTTGACTGCACCAATCGGACTGTGCTTGTGTCTGAGGGGATCGTCACACCACGGGGCTTGGCTGTGGACCACAGAAATGGCTATGTTTATTGGGTTGATGATACTTTAGATGTCATTTCAAGGATTGATATTGAAGGAAGGGAATGGAAAGTGATTCGTTACGGCAGTCGCTACCCAACCCCTTATGCCATCACTGTTTTTGGAAATTCTATCATATGGGTAGACAGAAATCTAAAAAAAATTTTCCAAGCTAGCAAGGAACCAGATAACACAGAATCGCCAGCAGTGATCAGGGACAATATCAATTGGCTAAGAGACGTGACTGTCTTTGACCAGAGTGTCCAGCCCCGGTCACCAGCTGAGGTCAACAACAACCCTTGCTTGGAAAACAATGGTGGGTGCTCCCATCTCTGCTTTGCTCTGCCTGGTTTGCTCGCTCCAAACTGTAGCTGTGTTTTTGGGACTCTGGACCATGATGGCAAGAGCTGTACCATTACAAAACAAAATTACCTCATCTTTGCCCTGGAGAACTCCTTGGGAAGCCTGCACTTGGATCCTGAAGACCATAGCCTACCTTTCCAAGCAATAAATGTGGGAGGACACGTCATGGCCTTGGACTATGACAACATAAATAACCGAATTTACTTCACACACAATGTAGAACCTAGACGGGGCCAGATTTCCTATGTCAACCTGGATACAAGGATCAGTTCTCCCACTGTCATTGTTTCAGGTAAGTGCACTCCAGGGATGGCTTACTTTGGACACAGTGGGATCAATGCGTGGATGGCCAGGTGATTCTAAAATGCATATGAGACTCTAACATGTGTGTGTGTTTGTTGGTTATGTCCAGACATAGGGACTACTGATGGCATTGCTTTTGACTGGATCAATAGAAGAATTTATTACAGTGACTACACCAACGAGACAATTAACTCCATGGCTGAGGATGGGTCTAAGCGTGCTGTGATAGCCCACGTTACAAAGCCAAGAGCAGTTGTCTTAGATCCTTGTGGAGGGTATGCCATCATCTTCTTGGTTATATTGACATTTACTTATTGCTGAAGGGAGAGGGGCCTGAAGTTATTTCATGTTCATAGAGGGCCAACACTTTATGGACTTGTAACACTGTACTATTGATTCAAAGGTGAGAGAGTGTGAGTGAGGAACTCACGTTGATGTTAGAAATGTTAATAGCATACTAGGGAGTCAATGCTCTGACTCAGTAAATCCCATTTGGGCACGTTGTATGGGTGGGAGTCATTCTTTTTTAGGGAAAGATGATGAGGTTCCTTGTGATGAATTAATTATGATTCCTCTTGAATGACTAGGTACATCTACTGGAGTTCCTGGGGTACCAATGCCAAAATCGAGAGAGCCACAGTAGGAGGAAACTTCCAGGAACCCATTGTGAACAGCAGCCTGGTCTGGCCCTCTGGGCTCACTGTGGACCACGAGGAAGACCTTCTCTACTGGGCAGATGCTAGTTTGTATGTGTCTTTGGTCAGTCATGTGGGTGCAGATAAGAAGAGATCTTTCCATTTATGAAGGAGAGAGATTTGCATACTGGAATAAACATATGAAATGCCAAATAGATAAAATTTAGTGTCACAGGTTTAGGAACTATATCCTAGCTTGGTGGATGTACCTGTGAAAGTTGATGTATGTTATGAGATTGAATAATTATGAACTAAAAGGCATCTAAAGATGCATTACGAGATGAATTAAATTTCAGCTATAAATACAAATGTAGTCACCAAATCTATCTATAATCTGCAGCAGTGGTGCCCCCAACCTTTTTGGTACCAGGGATTTCTTCAAGGGAGGCAATTTTTCCACAGGGGGCAAGGATGGGGGAACAGGAGGTGGAGCTCACTCACCCACGGCTCGCCTCCTGCTCTGCTGCCTGGTTGCTAACAGGCCAGAGACAGGTACCAGTCTACTGCCCGGGGACTGGGGACCCCTGATCTACAGGACCCATGTAACTACCATAAAATATGAATGACTTTTAAATATACACTGATATTAAGTGTTCTCTGGGCTTTAGTGTTTAGTGTCTTACAAAAATGTTTCCTTTAGTCTTGACTTTGGTTATCTTTTCAAATAGATCCTTCTTGAAGCAGCTTTTTCTCAGACATTTTCATAATGTTTTTCTTAGATATTTTTGTCAACTCTAAGTTTATATGTAACTTCTCCAAGTACCCCTGAAATTACTCACATTTTCATCATCCTAATGGATTAATTGAAGAGATGAGATAATTTTGTTTATTATGGCTGGTATCTACATGTCAGGAATCTTATTTTTTCTTGATTATTTCATGTTTTGGGGTCTGTAACACTGACTATCTACCAACTTGATCTTTTCTTCATTTTTCTCATTTAAAACAAAATACCTCAAGGTAAATGACAAATTGAAAAATTCATTAAGGGAGTTGGAAGGGAACTATAATTAACATTTTATTGTAATTTTCCATAATAGTCTCATGTTACTTATATAGGCCCGGTCCTTTTTATAGGATTATTTGTAGGTTATATTAATATTTGGAAATGAATGATTTGTATGGGCCATTGTCTGATAAGCAAATTGGGTCCTCTCATTACCAGCAGAAACACGTCTTGCTGGCACATACTCCCCTTGAAAAGAAACTGGAGGGCTTGGGTAAAGCAATGGTTAGACCCAGGCATTGTGCTGCTCATTGCAGAACTTATTCTTTCTGGATTCCAGCATTGTTTTAAACTTTGTTTTAGGCGCAGAATTGAACGCAGCACTCTAAGGGGCACGGAGCGTGAGGTCATCGTCAGCACAATCTTTCGTCCTTTTGGCTTGACCATGAATGGCCAGTATATTTACTGGACTGAGTGGTTCACAAAAAAAATTTACCGAGCCAACAAATATGATGGGTCAGGTCAGATGGCCATGACCACGAGTTTTCCATCCCGGCTAATGAGCATCCGCGTTGTCGTGAGGGACCACCCGCAGCAGTGCAGCAACCCTTGCGACCAGTTTAACGGGGGCTGCAGCCACATCTGCGCACCAGGTAAGGCATTGCCCGTGAAGATGGAGTCACGGAGAGACACAATAATGATGACAACTGAAGGATGGCTGGGGGAATATTCAGCTCTAGTGGGAGAATAAAATTCAAACTCTTGATTAGATGGTAATTCAGAAAATTGATTTGGGAGATCCTTTTATAGTTTGTAAATGCGATGACTGGGTGTTCACGTTATTGTGTGAGATGTGCCTCCCTCTAGCCCTTTTACAGCTCTGACACATTACCTGTCTGATGTGGGAAAAAGTAGATTTGGGAGTTTCTATGTGGAGAGGAAGCCTTCAATATTTTTTTTTTGTTTGATATGAAGATTTATTATGAAGGCATTTTTAAAAATTTATTTAATTATCATTCAAGTACAGTTTTCTGTTTTTTACTCCCATCCCAGCCCACCCCCCCAGTGCTCCCCACCTCCCTCCCATTTCTACCCTCCTTAGTTGTTGTCCCTGTGTCCTTTATACTAGTTCCTGCATTTTTAATACAAGCTTGATGGATGCAGAAAGATGGGGATTTAAGATTTAATTCTTTTACTTAGGAGGTGTTATCTGTATTTGGAAATATTTTTTAAAAATTTTTTTAAATTTATTTTTTTATTGATTATGCTGTTGCAGTTGTTCTATTCCCCCCCTTCATTCCCCTCCACCCTACCCCCCGTCCCCACCATAACCCCCCCTTTAGTTTATGACCATGTGTCTCAAGTTCTTTAGATTCTATATTTCCCATGCGATTCTTGCCCCCCCATCTATTTTCTATCTACTGTCTATGCTACTTATTTTTTGTACCTTCTCCCCCTTTCTCCTCCTCCCACTCCCCTGTTGCTAACCTGATCTCCTTGAGATCTTCATTTCTATGTTTCCACTCCTGATCTAGCTGTCCTTTTAGTTTGCTTTCATTTTAGGTGTGGTTGTTAATAACTGTGAGTTTGTTGTCCTTTCACTGTTCATGTTTCTTTAACTTCTTTTTCTTAGATAAGTCCCTTTAACATTTCATATAATAAGGGCTTGGTGATGATGAACTCCTTGAATTTGATCTTATCTGAGAAGCACTTTATCTGGAAATATTTCTGATGATATGATGTGTGATATGTACTTCTAGGGTTTTATTGAGAACGACAGATTCGTAGGAAGATGTGCCTTTTAATACCATTGCTTTGCAGATTTTGCTGAGAAGGCAGATTCCTTGTCATTGTTTCAGCGTAGATGAGGAGTTGTTTAAAGATTGGGGTGAATTAGCCACATTTGCTAATTGGTGGTAGTTCTTGATGAAAAAATGACTCAGAATATTATTGAAAGGTTGACGGGAGCAGTTTCCATGGCTTGTCTTGTAGCACATTTAATATAGAGGCTGTCACCAAGTGCTATTCTGGGGGAGAAAATATGACTGTTTGCTACACAGACCTTCGGCTTTTTCTGGGCCTGCTTTTCTCCAGGTCCAAGTGGCGCCGAGTGCCAGTGCCCACAGGAGGGCCGCTGGTACCTGGCCAACAACAATAAGCACTGCATTGCGGACAATGGCATGCGGTGTGTTGGTTCCAATTTCACCTGCCTCAATGGGCGCTGCATCTCGGAGCAGTGGAAGTGTGACAACAGAAATGACTGTGGTGACAACAGTGATGAGCTGGAAAGCGTTTGTGGTGAGTTGGATTCTTGGAAGTTTTGCTGGCGCTAAGGTTGCCTTAATGCAAGTGTTTGGTGCAGAACACTGCTGTGTGGGACTATATTCAGTCTGTGCCAAAGCATCCCGTTAGAGCTGAGAAGCAGTTACTCTGAGAAGCCAGACCGTGTTTGTGCTAAACCACATATAAGCTGATATATGTGCCATGGAACAGCGTCATCAGGAAGCCCCTCTGTAGTAGTTAAAAGCAAAAGTGCTGAGTTAAAATCCTGGCTATGCCATTTACACAATCTGCATGGCCTGGGAAAGTCACTCAAGCTCTCTGAGCCTCAGACATCTCATCTGTAAAATGGAGCCATTACTAGGATTCTTGTGAGGCATAAGAGAAACAATATAAAAAACACAGCAGAAGGCTTGATGCATATTAAACATGACTTATCATGGAACTAAGGACTCCAATAGGTGATTGTTATCATTTTATTAATTTAAGTAGCAGAAAGATTATTAATTCAGTAATTTTATTGAAACCACTCTCAGTATTCAGGTTGCATCTGAATGGAGTAAGTAAAACACAGGAGGAGACCATCTCAGGAAGTTCTGAAGTTAGTTACCTTTTTGTAGCAGACTCTGTTACAGAAGAAACTGCATTCACATGCTTTCCTGGGACTGAGAGATAGACAAACAGAGTGACTTCACCATTTGCTTAAAATACTTCAGTGGCTTAAAAAAAAAAAGCGTACATCATATTTTGCTTAATCTAACTAATTTAATAAAGTGTTATCTCAATTTGCATGCCATCCATTTTGCAGCCGTTTTTGCCTTGGAAGGTAAACTCTTAAGTGTCTGTTTTATTTGGTTGTATCTTTTGAGAAATTAGGATGATGCTCAAATCAAGAGGTTCCTCTGGTGTTTTTTCCTCCTTAGCGTTTCACACCTGCCGTTCGACAGCCTTCACCTGTGGCAATGGGCGATGTGTCCCGTATCGTTATCGCTGTGATCACCAGGATGACTGTGGGGACAACAGTGACGAGGAAGGGTGCCAGTTCACTGAGTGCGATGCCACAGAATTTACTTGCAATAATAAAAGGTGTATACCTCTTGACTTGGTCTGCAACGGTGTAAACAACTGCCATGACAACAATACTTCAGACGAGAGGAATTGCCGTAAGTTCATCTTAAGTACTTGTCGTTGGTTTGGGGTCTGACGTCTTGGACTGTGGGCTTTCTAAAAAAACAGTGAACTAAGTATTCATCCAAAACATAAATTTCATTTAATATATTTTACTAACTGATTTTTAAAAGCAACTCTACTTAACATTAGAATTATTTGCCTAAATTTATGGACCCATAAAACCATTGACTATTTTAACCTTAAATATTTTATCTTTGGTTTATGTATCTGCCAGATGAGAAGTTCACTTGGCAAAATTCCCGATTGTTTTAAAGCTTTACCAATAGTTACTGACAAAAAAATTATTGCATAAATGTGTTGTGGTTAATGTTTGTTGTGTAAAAACTGTATAGTGTGGTGTTAATGAAAATGATTTGTCTTTTTAGTTTTTCTGGTAAATTGTTTTATAATTTATTAATTTTTCTAAAATGTCTGGGATTTGCACTTTAGCATCTTGTGAAAACAAAAGAGCAGAGTGTAAGTCCAAATATATTTTCATTTTATGATATATCTACAAGCTCTGCTGCTTTTGTAAGTAGAGTTACATGAAATATTATTTGGATGTGCTTTTAAAAATAACTTTTCTTATGAGAAATTTTAAATACACACCAAAGCAGAAAGAATAGCATCATATACCTATCACCCAGCTTTCACATTTATCAACAAGTGGCCAATCTGTCTCTATCTCCTTTAGCCTTTTTCTGAGTATTTTAAGGTAACTCCCAGACACGCATATTATTGATAAAGACATTTTGAAAAACAACTACCATGCCATTATAATGCCTAGCAAAATCAACAGTACTTAATGTGTACCCGTACTGAGTCCATATTCAAATTTTCTCACTTATCTGAAATGTTTTTTTACAGTGCTGTATTCAAAATAAGATTCCGGCAAGGTCTACACATTAATATTGATTGTTATAAATCTTTATTGTTTTTTATGCCACAATGGTTCCCACTTTAAAAAAAGCCATTGATTTGTCTTGTGGAATGTTCCATATTCTGAATTTGACTAATTGCATAATTGAGTTATTTAATTTGTTATTTTATCTCTCTTATTTCTTGCTAACTGGAATTCAGACCTAGAGGTTTGAATACATGAAGTTCAGTTCTTTGGGTAGAATACTATACAGGTGAAACTGAGTATTTCCTCTTGCATCTCATCATGAGGCACATAGTGCTTGGTTGTTCTGCTTTATGTGATGATAGAATCAATTAATGGATTTAGAAGTCAGCCTGAATCTTCCCTTAGGAAGTTCCCATTGACCATTTACCCAGTGGTTTAGACATCAATGGATGGTTGTTCCATAAACCCTTCATAACAAAATAGGCATTTAAAAATCCAGTTATTCCCTCCACACTTATTAGCTGAAGGTCCATGTAGAAGAAACTCCCCTTGTCAACTGTTTTGTCATCCTGACTTACAAGTCTGCAGGGTGAATGCTGGGTTGTTTCCCTGTGCGTGTCAGTTCCCAGGGAACTGAGTTGGTGAGCCACGGGCATGACTTTTTTTGTTTTTAGTGTTATATTAAACTCATTGATTTTTATATGATTTATGAGTTTTAATGCTCTGAAGTAATCTATTCTTTTCAGTGTTCAATTTTCCTATCTCAGGCCAGCAGGAGCCCTGCTAAGTCCGCTGCTTTGTTATTTTGACAAGGCCTACCTAGTCAGTCCTCCATAGCTTAACCCTGTACATGCCTATCTTAGACCTGGAATGACCTCTTATGCAAGGAGACTTAGTTCCTTTGTGGTGTGTAAAATGGCCATGGTCTGGGAGTTCCCCACTCCTGTTTGGCTTTCGTTGCTTCTAGGCCTTTTCACTGGACCGAGGTAGGAGGTACTTTTTTAGGGAAAAACTAAATTCATATCAGTATTTTTCCTTTTACTTTAAAATTATAGGTGTTTTACTTAGAGTTTATAATCACTTCTCTTCCTTCTCTAAGCTAAAAATCTTGATTTCTAATGCATTAATATAAAGGCTTATTTGCTTTATTTTTAAATAATTTCAAATGCCCACACAAACTATACCAGTAAGTCTACTAAGGGTAATTTAAGACTTGAGGTCCTACATATTCTCAGATTATATCCCTCTGGGGGTATATATAATCCCTGGATTTTGAAACCAGGTCAAAATCTTGGTTTCAAAGACATTTGAATTTTTTTCTCTATATGGTTTGGCTGTCAACTTGATTCACCATTAACTTTTTTGTTAACTATTTCCAAATTTAGGAATTGCTTTTCTTTTTTCCATTTTTATTTTGTTCTTATTTATTCACAGCAATGTACATGGCTTTAATGTGAAAATTATTTGATGAGGTATAGTAACAGAAGTCTTACATCCCTGTCCTCTGTGTCTTGTCCCTCCATACTGAATCTGTCCATTGGGGTGACACTTTTCATTATTTTTTATTGTTGTTAATATAAGTGTATCTGTCTCCTAGTCTTTCCA